GTTGAACGAGCTGATCGAGGCGTCTTGCTTCGTAGGCAGCACATGAGACACTGCTTCTGCTACCAGTTTACTCAACAGTTCCTCATGACCGTACTGCTTGGAGGCAATCACAGAGCGGGTAATCTTAGCTAATTGTTCAGGGTCGTTCTTCATAGTGATTTCGTCCACCACCAATTCGTCCAGGGCCTTCAGAGTATAGTTCATAGCCATGTTGTAGCCTTGGATAATCTCCACCGCGGATAGGCCCAAGGCGATCAGCTTCTCGGCGACGTTCAGCAGTTCCCCGGCGAGAACCATCACCAGGTTGGTCCCGTCACCCATATCGATCTTTTGTTGTTCGGTGGCCATTACCAGCACTTTCACAGCAGGATGAACAATGTCCAGCTCACGCAACATCGTGGCGGCGTCATTGGTGACGACGGTCTTCCCAATGTGGTTAACAATAATCTTGTTCCTCCCGCAAGGGCCCATTGATGTCAGACACATCTGGTGGATTTCCCTGATGGCAGCAATGGATTTGTTAATTTGACCATCAGCGTTAGAGTAACTGCTGTAGCCTTGCTTGAATAGCCCTGCGTTTGGAGCCTGTGGCAATTTCATAGACATATTTTCTTGTGGAGGTGGGTATGTATGTATGTACTTTAGCTAGGTTCCTATATCGATGAGAAATGGAATATGATTAAATCGTGTATACTTAAATGTATTAAGTTCATTGTAAATTTGTACTATTCTATGCTAACGCCTTTTGCAAGATGGGCAACGCTTAACAAAAACATGAAAAAAAAAGACGAGTAGTAAAAATTGCCATACATTGCGAAATAAATACACTATCTTCATATATAGAATAAATGAGGTAAACGAATGGATAGAAATCCTAAAGTCATGCGTACGCATATGTATGAATTGAATATCTATAAAAATAAATAATACAAAAGTATATATTGCTAGACTTTGTTCAAGAAACCCACATGACAATAGTCTGCCAAGAGGTGTAAGCCATGACAATGACCCCAAAGATACATAACACTATATCAAGCACCATTTCCAACTTTTTTCTTGTGTTCATTTGTGAAGAATTATCTAGCATCGTAGCTTTGAAATGCAATAATGGTGGGTGTATATATATCAGAGGGATACAAGCCATAGACCCAACTAACGAAACAAATTTATCTAAATCATTGGCACCGATCCAAGCCATAGTTGCCGATAGAATGACCACGAACGTTCTAAAATAATTCTTGAGCCACTTTACCTTCGGGTTATGTTTTCCCGATGCATTAGCTGGGAAAGTCAGGTGTTCTAGGATTCTAATGGCAGGGAATAATTGTAAAGGTGTAGAAAGAAGGATTGCCAAGGCGTATAGTAACTGTACCGTCAATGTTAATGGACTATCCTGTGGGAAATTCAATAACACAACAGTTTCGACTTGAGAACCAAATGCACAGTAACAGATCAACCCACATGAGATAAATATTACGGTGACTATGACCATTACACCAGATAATGATTTTTGAAATTTTTCTGGATGACGCATAGATTCCTGAATTGGAATCAACAATCCAATTCCTTCAAATGTGAAAATTGCAGTCCCGATAAACAGTGACCAATCTTTCTTGTTAAAGAGTATTATTGATTGAGCAATCCCATTCGTTACCACATGGTATGAAGCATAATAATAGACATATAACAACCCCAAGAGAATAAATAAATCTGCAATCAGTGCGGTACCACTCAATTTGGCAATATTTCTAGTCAGTGATAATGGAATAAATATAATTGCTTGTAGTATAATATACAATGCTAGATGTATTTGTTCTTTGTCAAACCCAAAGACATTATCAACGAATACTTTCAAATTTGTTGCAGTGAAGACAGTATATGCTGCTGAAAAACCTAATTGTGATAAAGTTATAGATGACAAAATAGCGTATTTCATTGGATTCCCATATAGGGTATATCCCATTTCACCGTACCCATTAACATTAATTTTATTCTTAGTATTAATCAATAATACGAAACAATAATATGAGATCCAAGCACAAAACAACAAACACACCGAGCTAAAAGCCCAACCACCATTATGGAATGCTCTTGGTAAAAACAGTACACCCGTTCCCACGAATGATTTCAATAGTAATAGAACAGCTTTAAATGTTGTCGATTTATGTTTTTCATGATGTGATGTTGTTTCAGTCAATAATAAACTTGTCGATTCATTATCTGATTCAAGAACTTCCAAATCTGTAATATCGGTTTCATCTTCTTCTCCATCTTCTTCTCTTTCAGAATCAGAATCAGACAAATCTTCACCTGCAAAATGTCCATAAAGTGTTAAAAATTCGATAAAATTACGAGTGAAAAAATCTGGTGTTCTTAAATTTTTCTTTCTACGAGATTGTAAAATATAAGATCTTCTAAATCCACCTGGTGCTCTAATTTCTTCATGTGTCATTATTACAGGACCGTTACTATTACCATTAGTAGTAATATTACTATTATTATTATTATTATTAGTTCCACTATATGTACGATGACCTTGAGGAGTTGGTAATATCAAACTATTCAAAGTACTTGAATTTATTGATAAAGCGGAGAAACTCATTGACCGTTTCCTATGATAAGCATTACCATTTGTAGTACCATTTTCTGGAAATAAATTCGCAGATCTAATAGGAGAATGTGCTAAGTTCGTATTAATATTAGTATTAACAATATTATTATTATTATTTTCCATAATTGGTGGATGATCATTTTTCCATTTATATAAATCTCTTGTAATATCACCACCTGGTAGACTTAAATCATTTGTTGATGGTGATAAATATTTAGATACTTGATCGACAACATCTTGAGTCGGATTATTTACATCAAATGATGCAGATTTAGATATCGAGGGAGATCCTGAATTAGACATGTTCATTGCTACTTGAGATTGTTGTTTTATTGGTGTAGTACCATATAATGAACCATTAGTATTCGTATTATTAGTAATATTATTATTGTCACTATGTAACAATGGTCTTGGATCCATTCTTAATGCGGCTGTATGACTTGATCTTCTAGAAGAAACGGACGTATGTTGTTGTGGAATAATGGTAGTAGCAACGCCTGTATCCGCACTAGGTGTAATTGGGGGTATGTCCTTTGTTGTGACCAATATAGGCTGTTGTTTTATTGGATCATTTTCAATACTATCATTTTCATTCTTCTTATTAGTCAATTTTTTTTTCCTTCTTTGAGCCTTCTTCTTTCTATTATCTTTTCTAGTCATATCGAATACCTATATGTATATATTCTAGTCAGGTATAGTTGGATATCTAACTGAGCTGTCTTCAACAATTCGAGTAAGGAAACGTCAAAATATATATATGTATATTGGCGATTTCTAACGTTTATATATCTTGGGGGTGGAAAGGCATCCACCATCCATCCATCCATCCCTTCACGTAAAAAGCACCAAAATGAATCAAATTTCTCTCTGCGGTGCGCTCTGCTCTGCTTTGCTTTGTTTTCACGCCATCAATGAAATGAATTTGTGATAATTTATTCGCAGAGAATAATATGGCACTACGCTACAGACAAAACAGACTCTGAACAGTTCAATAATACCCATTATTACATTGTTATATTATCATATCATATTATAATGCATTATAATGGCGTGATACATATCTGGGAAAGTGTATAATAGAGTCAAGCAATGCCACAATCATTAAAGGAATGCTACTTTCTTATATTAGATCACTATGTTGACTCGTAATTTGGGGAAAGAGTATTCTCAATTAAATTAAATGCAACTTAGCGAACTACTTTTATCATGATGACAGTAAATATATATATGACTATAGCTATCAGAATTTGGTTAGCTCAGTTTAGCTTCGTGTTCTCTCTTTCTTTTATGCGATTGTTGTGGTCTCGCTATCAGTTTCCGTTTCCGTTTCTTAATTCTCTTGTTTATGCTAGGGTTTGCTAGGGTTTGTGAGTAGGGTTTCGCTCTGTCTCTCCCCCAATCAAATCAATTTCTGTGAAAATTGTTTCACACTAAATAGACGCGCGTGCGTAGAATCCCACTAATAGTAAGAAACTGAATGGATGCAAGTGTAAACAAAAGAGCAAGCATTACTTAGATAAATATTTTGAAGAAGGTTCATCGATGATTTAACACTAAAATGATTATTTAATACGTACACACATATATATTTTGAATGCAGTAATCTTTACTTAATAAACAGACTAGTATACGTTTATATATATATATATATATATAAACATAGTTACATACCACACCAACAGAAACCACTCACATTATGGCAAGCTTAGAAGACCTTATACCCACTGTAAATAAATTACAAGATGTAATGTATGCTTCAGGTATAGATACACTGGATTTACCGGTATTGGCCGTCGTCGGATCTCAGTCCTCAGGGAAATCTTCTATCTTAGAGACACTGGTCGGAAGAGATTTCTTACCTAGAGGTACAGGTATTGTCACCAGAAGACCGTTAGTACTACAGCTAAATAATATTAAAAGAAAGATTGACGATGATGCTGATCATGATGCCGATGTCGATGCTGGACCTCGTTACGAAGAAGAATGGGGGGAGTTTTTACATTTACCTGGGAAGAAATTTCATGATTTTGATGAAATTAGACACGAAATTGAACATGAAACTGCAAGAATTGCAGGTAAAAATAAAGGTATTAGTAAATTACCAATTAATTTAAAAGTCTTTTCTCCACATGTTTTAAATTTAACCTTAGTAGATTTACCTGGGATTACAAAAGTTCCTATTGGGGAACAACCAATCGATATTGAAAAACAAATTAAAAATTTGATCTTAGATTATATTGCAACACCAAATTGTTTAATCTTAGCTGTTTCACCTGCAAACGTGGATTTAGTCAATTCAGAATCTTTGAAATTAGCTAAAGAAGTAGACCCATATGGGAAGAGAACTATCGGTGTTATCACTAAATTGGATTTAATGGATTCAGGAACTAATGCAATGGATATTTTATTAGGGAAAGTTTACCCATTAGAACTGGGATTTGTTGGGATTGTTAATAGATCTCAACAAGATATTCAATTAAATATATCTGTGAAACAAGCTTTGGAAAATGAAGATCATTATTTTGCAAGACATCCAGTGTATAGAACAATTGCTAATAGATGTGGGACTAGATATTTAGCTAAATTGTTAAATAAAACTTTGATGTCTCATATTCGTGATAAATTACCTGATATTAAAACAAAATTAAATATGTTAATTAATCAAACTGAAAAAGATTTATTATCATTTGGTACCATGGGATTAATCGATAAAAAAGAAAGTAAAGCAGGTTTGATTTTACAATTGATGAATAAATTCGCTACAAATTTTATATCTTCAATTGATGGGAATTCATCAAATATTAATACAAAGGAATTATGTGGTGGTGCTAGAATTTATTATATTTATAACGACATATATGGGAAAACCCTTAAAACTATTGATCCAACAACAAATTTGACCTCTGATGATATTAGAACTGCAATTAGAAACTCCACAGGCCCTCGTGCCACATTATTTGTTCCAGAACTAGCATTTGATTTATTGATTAAACCTCAAATTAAATTGCTATTAGAACCATCACAACATTGTGTAGAATTGGTCTTTGATGAATTAATGAAAATTTGTCAATCCTCAAGTACAAATGAATTGGCAAGATATCCAAATTTAAAAGGTACATTGATTGATGTTATTAGTGATCTATTGAGAGAAAGATTGACCCCAACTCACTCTTATGTAGAAAGTTTAATTGATATCCAAACTGCCTATATCAACACAAATCATCCAAGGTTTTTAAGCGCTACTGAAGTGATGGCTGATATCATGCATATTCGTGATAGAAGAAATCTACCTTATGGAAATATTTCACAACAACAACAACAACAACAAATGTTTAATTATAATGGTGATGAAACAATTAGCAATATTAACCCAAGTGGGACCTCCCAAGAGACTGACGATATTGATGAAGCTAGTATTGCATCTCCTCAGGAATCAAATAGTGGTAACCATAATAATCCTACAAGAATTGCTGAAACCATTTTAAATGGTGCCAACAATATCAATATACAAGATAATAAAAATAAATTACCAGGGATAAGTCAATCGGAGATTTTCCCAAATTCTAACGCTGGTAAATCAAATGGATCTAATGGTATGTTTGCTAACTCTACATCTTCTTTGAATAGCCAAGCTGATGGTAAGGATTCCTTCTTGAATTACTTCTTCGGCAAAGAAAAGGGAAACATGAACCAACAAACTGGACAGCAGCAACAACAACGCCAACAACAAGCTGGTCAAAGAATGATGAATGGAATGAACAGGGTTAATGATATCAATGCTACCATGTTTAATGGATTACGTCTAAGTGATAATAACTATCCAGATTCAGGTATGACATTCAATAATGATAACAACAACAGCGAAGGATTAACAGAACGTGAACAATTGGAATGCGAATTGATAAGAAGATTGATTATTTCATATTTTAATATTGTTAGAGAAATGATCGAAGATCAAGTCCCAAAGGCTATTATGTGCTTATTGGTCAACTTCTCAAAGGAGAACGTCCAAAACAGGTTGGTTACAGAATTATATAAGGAGTCAATGATAGATAATCTGCTGCAAGAAGATGAAACATTGGTCCAAGAGAGAATTAACTGTGAAAAATTATTAGACACTTATAAAAAGGCCAATTCTCTCGTCCATAATATTCTATAGCCATATTAATGAAGTTGTTTTAAATATTAGTTATCTAGAAATTCATAGAAAGAAACGAAATATGAAAAGTAATAAATATAATACAACTATTTTTTGCTGCAAGAGGTATCTGTAGGACGATCTATAACATTTATATAAATATAGTTCGATGTATTGGAATGATTTCAATTTTATGAGTACTACTTAACAAAATGAATTCTGGATATGAACCGAAATTAATTTCTTGGTGACACGTTTATTGGAGTTGCAGTCGAATTGGTAGAATATGCTTGTGATGCACTCTTTGAACTACGCTTTGGTATTACGCTAGTATTTGAAGAATTTTCATTCGATCCAGTCACTGCTCCATTAAGTCCATTCGGTGTTCTAATCATTCTATGCTGGTTTGTATAACTGCGCACATTATTACTACTAACTGATAATAATGGCCTTCTTGGATCATGTTCATCTCTTGCCTGTTCTTCGTCATTGGATTCTCCATGCCTATGTGAAGGGTCTTTCCCAACTTTCAGAACAACCATGCAACAGAATAAACTCATCACAAATAACACACCTATCACAGCACCTGTTGCAATTGCCATTAATGGAAACGAAAAATGATAATTATAACGATTAGTCCAACTTAATGATAACGGCCTATCAATTAAAAATACACATGCTCTCTGGTTGATATCCTTGTTTCGTGTGGTAGAACACCCTTTTTTCAATATTCTTACTTCATTATCAGAGCCACCCTTTATCTTAAGAAATGATTCAGTATCGGATACTTTTCTGCATTCTAAGGTTTGTCCTAAATCTGTTTTTATGTCACCAGTACAATTGATCAACCCTGCAGTTTCGTTACCTTTAATTATATGTAGTTTTAAAAACTTTTCCAATGTTGTGGAATTAATGTTAATATCTTCAAATATTAGCGAAGAATAAGTAGGTATTAGAATGGAATATAAATCAGATTCTGGTGATCTATGAAATAATTTATGAGATAAGTCCTCAAATTTATTTAAAAACGTTATTATTTCGGAAGAATCTGTCACTTCGATAAGTTGCTTTATAGAAATATTAACCGACTTAGGTAGATCCATCATTTGGAAGGGTTGTAGGACACCTTGATTAAAAAATATATCATCGGTTTTAACAAGGGTAATATTATCAAACATCGTATTCAACTCAAGTTCAATATTCTTGGAATCGTTTTGATCATCCGTAGTCTTTAATTGGACCTTGTTACCTAATATATTCGTTGTATCTAGTGATACATCGTCCATATCCGTATAATATAACCCATTAAGGATGTAATTTTTCATTACCTCCTCCATCAGTGATAAATCTCTCTCAACCAAGTCCATAGTTAAGGATATCGAACCCCATGAATTAAAACATGGTAACAAAACAGTATAACCTTCATGATTTGGTATTAATTCTAATAAGTTCAGTTGCCTCAAGAATGATATCGATTTGGAACAATGTGAAAATGGCGGTACTGATAAAATCAGATCGCCAGGTGTAGTCAAATCACCCGAGAAGGTATATATTAATTTATTCCCAACGATATACGGTTTTGATAGAGTAATTTTTAATTTGTCATTAATCCAATACCCGTCTCCACGTTTAGTAATTTTAACCCTTTGACAATTGTTGCCTAATTTCTTGACCGATGAACAGAATGAAGAGTTGAATATCTTCGTAAAGGATTCACCTCTACTTAGCACAGGGAAATCTTCCTCTAGCCATACTTGTTCATTCATGAAATGATAAAGTAAAGTAGATTTTGTGAAACCCATCCCATCATTTTGATTAGACTCTGGAACAAAAATCGTCATCTTCTCATCAGTATCATCTCTATTTTGAATCATGCTTTCAATGTTTCTAAAATACATTTCGCTTACAAATCCAGAACAATTCAAACCATGCAAATAGTTTTCCGCATCAAATGCAATATCCTTCGTTAGAATAGCCATATCTTCGTAAAAATGTGCGACACCAGAATTGAATATTTCATTAGATACTAATGAATCAGTTGTAATGTTTGAAGAATGACGAGTACCCTGTTTATTACTCCCAAATGATATTGAATCATTATTCAAATTAGTTAGAATCTCTGATTTTATTATGGACCCCCCATGAATACCTTTATATATAAGGTTACGATACATTGATTCCATATGATTTATCCATTTCTGTCGTACCGGTCTCTGCATTCTGTCTAAATTATTATATGAGTCCAGCAAATATTTTAGTTCAACAGAATTTAGATGACGTTCAAAAGAATCATCAGATGGTATAATCACTGTATTATAATCAATTAGTTTGTCAGATTCTGGGATCTTACCTATAAGTCTTTTTAAATTTTCAAAAGTCAAGTCTAACTGATCGTGTAATTGATAATTTTCGTCCGTGATAACGTCTGATAAGGACAACGGTTCTTTAAGATTATTCAATATACCATGAACCGTTGCATTTTGGAAATTAGGCGTTAAATCAGGTTCAACTATTGGTATTCTGTTTATCTTGAAACGTGTCTTAGTCATACTATCCCATGATTGTCCGATTACATATGGATATTTGACACCTTCTGATATTATTCGTGTGGTATTTATGAGATCTTCAGTGTGCACCATGTAATTATGAAATATATAATCATTAATATCAAACGCAGAAATGTTAATGTTTTCGTCATAACCAACAAATGCAGAATTGACTGGTGCAAATAGTGTAAAATTTTGTAAATCGTTTAAATGGTTGATGTTACCACTTCGTTGAACAAGTCTCAAAAATGTGGAAAATTGAACATTAGATGATAATATATCTATCACCGTGGTAAATGGGAAATCTGGTTTCTCATCTGTACTCTTATTTTCATCAACCTGTTCATTGGATAGGAGTGCGGTGTCTATTTCTCTGCTTAGGCATAGTTGTATTGTGCTACATATATAAAATAAAAGGATTGTAATGTACTTCATTCAAAATGGTAGTATATGGTGAACTTATGTTCGAGTAAGTGATCAATTAATACTGAATGTCTTAAAATCCAATTGATAAGGTATTAATTATCGTTACCTTCTTCTTATTGTTCTTGTTAGCTTATTTGTCTTTCAAAAAAAAGGGTGTTATAGAATATGTTAAATAAAAGCGAACAGTTACTAAGTTTATAGATGCTGCAACTTTAATCTTTTCCACAGTTGATTAAAAAAGATTAGGTGTTTATATTATTATAAGCTTTATGTCTTCGTTTGACTTCTTTTTAATATACACTTCTTATACAATATTATGGTCTTATTATTATTTACGATATGTCTCTATCAACAATATATGCATAAAAAACAGATATGCTGCATAGAGACCGTAGGACAGCATCCGGCTGACCGATCTTTGCAAGACATTGGAAATGAACAAAAAAACCAAAATATTGTAATAATCATGAGTAACTGTTGATAAGATGCAACCAATCCGTTTAACTAATTGCAAGAAGGATCGGTATACATAATTCTAGATAATGCATATTAATTGTTTAGTATATAATATATCACAGGAATTGAAAGCAGACACAACAAATTCTGTAATTATGTAAAGTTTATCTCATAAAAACAATTAAGTTCTACATGTGTTACAAATATATTAAACAATCTAATTATATTGCATGTAACGGGAGGTAGAACTGAATTTCTTATAACCGTTAATGACTTTATCAACAGCCTTCAGGAAGTCCTTCTCCGTGGCAACCTTCCTTCTAGCTCTAATTGCAAACATGCCTGCTTCTGTACATACTGATCTTAATTCTGCACCTGTGGAGTTTGGACATAATCTTGATATTAATTCCCATCTAATATTTCTCTCGACACTCATAGATTTTGAGTGAATACGGAAGATATTAGCACGACCTTCCAAGTCCGGAAGAGAGAATTCAACTTTACGGTCAATTCTACCAGGTCTTAACAACGCAGGATCAAGAGTGTTTGGTCTATTAGTAGCGAACATCACCTTGATATTACCACGAGGGTCAAACCCATCTAATTGTGTAATCAACTCTAACATAGTTCTTTGAACTTCATTATCACCACCAGCACCATCATCAAAACGGGCACCACCAACAGCATCGATTTCATCGAAGAAAATAATGCAAGCTTTCTTCGTACGTGCCATTTCGAATAATTCTCTAACCATACGTGCACCTTCACCCACATACTTCTGTACTAATTCAGAACCAATCACTCTGATAAATGTAGCATCTGTTCTATTAGCAACAGCACGCGCACACAGGGTCTTACCTGTACCAGGAGGACCATATAACAATATACCTTTTGGTGGATCAATACCTAATGTGGCAAACCTTTCTGGAGATAATAATGGTAATTCGACAACTTCTCTTAGTTTTTCAATTTGATCTTTACAACCACCAACATCACTATATGTAACATCTGGTTTTTCTTCGACGGTCATCATCGTTACAGATGGATCAATTCTTGGTGGTAATGGTAGCTCAATATGGTATTTAGATCTATCTACACCAACTCTCATACCTTCTTCAATATCAGTTGGAGATACACGTTCCCCAAGTCCTACAACAAACTTCGCAATCTGTTTCAAGTTAATAACATATTTCGATTCTTCATCGTCATCATCCCCAATCGTATCTGTATTAGTAGAGCCTTGTTCTGCTGAGGTCGAACTAGCTGAACCATTACCATTAGAAGATTGTGTATCGTTATTCTCTAATGCTTCTTGACGTAGCTGTTCCTTGGATTTGATAATCTTGGTACAACGTGCCACTTGTAATGGATGTTCTTCGCTCAATCTTTGTCTATCACCCATGATATCCCACATATGAGAAGGTGCTAAACCAGTATCACTCTCTTTAACACCAGCTTTCTCCTTAATTCTTGCTTCAATTTTCTTCAAATCACCTTCTGTTTCCTTCAATTTTGATGCATATGGAGCAGCACCATATGTCTTTAACACTTGGATATCACCTTCAGTTAGGGGTGTAATATTTTCTTCCTTCTTATTAGAATCATCAGCGCCATCTACTGGAGCCTTATATTTTTCCCAATCAGCTTTTGGAGGCATTTCTTGTACGTTTTATCTATTATTTCCTTAAAATATTGTTCTTTCCCTTATAGGTTATTCTAACAAAATGGGATGTTGAATGTTGTGTTTGTGATCCAATAGTGTATACACACACTCTCTTTATATCTGTATTTGAGCACTTAATGTGAATATATATATTCTTCTCTATTGTTAATTGAGCACAGATATCTATATTTTTATTTATAACGTTTTCTTTCTTATATCTTTACTGGGTGGCAAATATTTATGTATATATTATATTCCAAATAATGAAATTACAATGTATTTTAGGATATTTTCTCCTTCTATTTTTCTACCTTCGCCGCCCGTCGGTTTTTATGTTAACTTCTCATAATATTTTTGAACTAACTGCGAACTGATTTCACACAACAGATAGATACACGTATAAGGAATAATGTTCGTAAACTATATCAATACAGAATTAATTTGCCTTAAGATACATTATATCTTTGAACTTATACAGACAACTTGTTAATGTTCCATTAAATCGTACTGTAATTTTTAGTTCACTTTATTTTATTACAAATGTTAATGTTGCAAAGGCATAAGAATTAATTTATATAGCATTCTTTTTACATAATTATTAAAGAAGCATATTTATTTCTTTGTTTCTTGTTCTTTAAGTAATATACAACCATCTTCCATTTGATGTTTTATCTATTTAGTTTATAACTTTCTAGTCTCAGCACCTCCGATTTTTTGTTCAAGAGCAGATGAATTGTTGTCCAAAGACTTAAGCGCATCCAAATGCGTGTTCAATAATTGAACTATTTGTGCATTCTCATCTTGATTGTTCAAATTTATGCTAGTAACTTTGTTGAATGTATTACTTATCTCGTTGATTTCACTTATTAGAGATGATAAGTTCACTGATAAACCGTTTAAGTTTTCATCTAACTTTTCAGCAGTTTCATAAGCTTGTTGTCTCTTTTGATCATTATTGTTCGCACTGCTGCCATTATTTGTGTTCAATATATCTACAAGCAATGAGTCTGTCTTTGATTCGTAGTTATCCAAAAAGTTTTCCAATTCGGTTTGTTGTCTTTCAATATATTGCAATGATTGGTCGATTCTATTTTGTGTTTGTTCGGCAACTAATGTATCATTGTATAATTTGTTAATGTCTTCCCCACTTTTCACTAGAACTTGATCCCATTCATTGACTTTCTTGGTGTATTTATCAAAATGAATAGCAGAACTTGTTAGTTGATTGGTCCATCTGGTAACGAGATCATCTAATGTTTTATTATCCAACGAAATTGGCTTCAATTCCACATTCTTTTTGGTCAGAGTTGAGGTAGCAGCAGTGGTTGGAGGTTTCACATCTGCTGTTGTAGTACCAGTTGAAGTGGTAGATGGGTTTTCATCCTTCTTGCCACCAAATGAAAATCCACTACCAGTAGATGGTTTAGTATCAGTTGCGAGTGATTTCTCGGCTGGCTTCTCAGCGTCAGTTTTTTTGGAGCCAAAACTGAACGAACCTAGGCCAGCACCTGCAGTAGGTTTCGCAGCATCTTCCTTTTTCTCACTTGGTTTGGTAGTGGCTCCACCAAACGAGAATCCACTTGGCTTTAAAGATGCATCGGTTTTAGATTCATCCCCCTTCGCCGCAGTTTTATCGCCACCGAAAGAAAAGGCTGGTTTACTAGCACTTGTAGTTGTAGTCTCATCCTTCTTTATTTCTGTGGCGCCAAGTTTGGATCCTCCAAATGCGAATGCTGGCTTAGTTGCTTCGGTAGGCTTTGAAGTAGAAGTGCTACTAGCGGAACCACCAAATGAAAATGCTGATTTAGAAGCAGTTACATCATCCTTTTTCTCTTCTGGTTTAGCTCCCGAAAAAGAACTCCCAAACGCAAACGCCGGTTTCGTAGCGCTTGTATCATCCTTCGTCTCTTCAGGTTTACTAGTATTAGATCCAAAGGAAAGTCCAGATGGTTTTACTGTAGTGCCAGAAGCTGGCGCACTAGCACCGAAGTTTAAGGTTGGTTTTGATGAGTCCGTATTACCTGCAGTTGCACTTCCACCAAATGAGAATGTGGTTGCGTTACCAATTTCTGTGCCACTATCTTTATTAGCAGTTAGATTGAATGATGGCTTGGCGGTTCCCTCCTTCTTCTCTTCAGTACTAGTTGCTGTGTTAGTAGGGTTCAAGGAAAATGTAGGTTTGGATGTATCACTGGAAGTAGGATCTTTGGTTACAGAAGTAGTAGACCCACCAAACAAAAAACTAGATGGGGCAGCAGTAGATGTTGAATCTGTTGTTTTAGCACCAAATCCACCAAATCCAGGGTTTGAACTACTAGTAGTCGCAGTAGTTGTTCCATTATTTGAAGCAGCTGGTGCTGCGCTTCCAAATACTGGTTTTACGCTAGTTGCACTAGGTTGTGAAGCACCAAACCCACCGAAGGCCGGCTTGGCAGCGCCAGCACTAGCAGAACCATTTGAAGATGTAGTTGAAGCAGATGCACTGTTAGTAACAGAACCAAATCCACCAAAACTAGCTTTAACAGCAGCTGTACCGGTGGTTGCTGAAGTTGGATTTGGTGGAGCAGCACCGAATCCACCAAACATTGGCTTAGCTTGAGCACCTGAAGTTGGGGCTACGCTGTTTGTGGCAGCTGATCCAAATGGAGCATTCGAGGTGCTTGTGTTGGTAGCTGTAGTCTGAAGACCACCGAATGCTGGATTTTTTGGGGCACCTAACCCAGCAGCGGTAGAATTAGTTGGGGCCGCACCAAATGACGGTTGATTTGTGACAGGAGGAGCATTTGCGTTGCTACCAAATCCACCAAATGTTGGTGCTGTAGCATTGGTAGAAGCATTGCCAAAGCCACCAAAGGCTGGCTTTGGTACATTGGCATTTGTAGAACTGGTTGAACCAAATGCATTTCCAGTCGAACTGCTTGGTGTGTTTCCGAAAGCGCCACCGCTATTGTTACTGGCTCCTCCAAAGAGACTTCCTGATTTAGGAGCTGTATTACCAAAAGCACTGCCCGCATTGTTGTTCGGAGGCAAACCAAATGTGTTGTTACCACTGTTATTCGTGTTTGCACCAAAGGTACTATTAGCATTACTTCCAGTGGTGTTACCAAATGTGCTGCCCATGTTATTATTTGCATTAGCACCAAAGGCACTGCCATTATTGTTATTTGTCGAACCACCAAAAGCACTAGAAGTATTATTGTTGTTGTTATTACTATTATTACCGAAGCCAAAACCAGACTGAGTATTAGTATTAGTATTGTTATTATTCTGAGTGCCTCCAAATCCAAATCCACCTTGGGTAGTACCTGTATTTTGAGTATTGTTACCGAAACCACCAAAAGGTTGGTTTGGTTTATTGTTAGGTGTACTGAAATTCACTGTTTGAATAATATCATATTTTCATAAATTAGAATTGCTCGATGGTGGTAAATCATTGCAATACTTAAATAAAATAGTAGATGTTGTTAGTAAAATAAGACAAAAAAACAGGTTGAATCGTATTTTATCACATCTGTATCAATAGACAGTATTAATGTATGAAAAAAATTGTACGAGATTCAGTTTCTTATCGTGGAACAATCAATTAACAGGAACCTTTGAGATTCTCGACTATTAATTGTTAGATGATAAATGTATTTTCAAAAGGAACTATTAACATACTTCTTTGTATTGTAAATGATGCACAGCCCACTTGATTGATATCTTATGAATAAGACAAATTGGAGTTTCTATATATCTGGTATCACTTTCTTTTAGATGATGTACGTACCATCGATCCTTGTCTTGTCCCTTCTACAATCACAACTATGGGTAAAATCGATTGCTATTTTGGTGTAAAATTCATTTTTTTTTGGTTTTCTGAACTCGCTTGAATATTTTCTAAACAAAAATAAATTTGAACAAAAAAACTGGAATGTGAGGGTAACAATGTTTAGTATTGCTGGAATAATAAAAATGCTATTAGTATCCGTATGGATGAAGCTGCACCACCAGTCTGTTTTTCTCAATTAATACGTTGTAAAATCGTAGTAGTTTTTATACAGTGAAAACCACTAAACTGTTGAATATATATTTCTAAAACTAATTTTATCTGACTTTTTTCAAATTCGCTGCAAAATTACATCCTAAATGTGTCAACTACTATTTTGCCAAATTATGGCTCCATCCATAGTATTACTATGATTCCTGTTTCCCAAAAGAAAAGAGGTATGATATATGTATAGTTCACTTAGATAATATTACATTTATTTTTAAAAAAATATACAGCATTTACATATAGGGATGTACAAATACCGATACCACTGTCACTACAGCATTTGATGTGTATTTCTCCCAAATTTATGTAAACACATAAATGTCAATGATTTGCACAGTTATAGTCATGTATGACTTATGGTTATTTGTTTACACTTTTTTGATTTATTATTTCATTTATGATTATCTGGAGAATCTGCAAGGTTCTTATTTGAAACTCTGATTTTTACTAGATTATCCAGAACTTGGTCATATGCTTGGTTCATTGCTTCTTCTTCTTGGTTGTTCGTGTATTCATCGATTTCTTTAGGATTCTTAGGTAGTGTATCTCCTATCCTCTCTCTATGTTCTTCATTATTATTAGAATCAAGTTTTGAAGGACCAGATAATATATCGTTACTTCCTTCACTAGAATTATTTTGGGAATCATTGGACTTTTTACCATCCTGCTTCTTGAAAATGTGATGGAAATGGAACCCTTGATTATGTAATTCGTCAATAACATTCAACACATCGGATACATTATTTTTCAGTAGCATATCTTTGATTTGATCACTATTAGAAGTCTCGGCAGCTTTGCATATCTCGTCTCTATATAACTCACTGAATTTGCACTTATCACTGTTTATAGATTCAGTGTCTATTGATTGATTATTTCCCTCTATTTCTTCCGCTGAGTCGCTGCCTGTTTCTGCATTTTCTCTTCTTATAATTTCAGGTTCGACTAATCTCTTAACGGGAGCATCATCGTCTCTAAATTCCACCATTTCATCGGCATTATGAGTAGAATTTTCTGGTTTGATGCTACCGAATGGTAACAAAACAGTATGGCCAGATTTCGTAAATGCAGACGACATAATAATAGCATCTGACCGATTATCATTAGTACCTAATTGGGATTCTGATGAATTTATTTGAGTTAGGTCCTCTGCAGTGCTATTTTTAGAGGAAGGAGCAAGATCACCTTGAATGGTTTTGATATGTCTTTGTCTCAATAATCTTATACTTTTTTCTAAACTGGCATCTATGATACACAACCTTATTAGAGCCTCCTTACCTTCAATGTTTAATTGACCTTGGACTCTTAGATCAAACAGATCTTGAACAACTTTTCTAATTTTCTTTCTAGCTTTTGAAACCTTAACAATAAATTTCTCTACTGTAGCATTATATTGAGCCTTATTCGATTCATCAAATGTTTCTGTCAATAGAGTTGTAAATTCGTCCCTGATACTTTGTAATTGAGAATTTTCTTGAGACGACTTATCAACATCCCCATTCTTATCTTTCTTGTTATTTGGAGTAGTCAATTCACTTTGAATGTTTCTCATACTGTACAAAGAAATCTCGTCCTTGATCTTCTCTGGCATGTAAGCATAGTCTAAATCTAATGTAATCAAAGACGTACTCTTTTTAACAGCTTCGGCAAGGGCTTTGGAACTAGCTAGGTCCAAAGGTGTGCCTATTATGGATAAATGATGAAGTGATGTGCACAGTGGTAGCGTTTCAGCTATAGTAACAATCTCTGTTGAAGTAAGGCCGTTAAAATTCAAATGCAAGCGCGCAAGACCCACAAAGGATGGTAAACAATCCAGTAGAGTATGCATACATGCAGGAAATATTTTTGGATTATTAGATAAGTCAAGGAACTTCATACTTTTAGAGAAACACAGAATACTCAATAATTTCAAGAATTCATTCGTTTCACTAGTAGCGCCTTCTTCGACTTGTAAATTAGTATTGTTCAAGGAAATGAATTTCACCAGATTTTTATGTTTCATAGCATGTATTTTATCAAACATTGCATCGGAAAATGGTTGTAATTTCCCTCTTAAATCATTAAACCCAATATCCAACCCTGTCACCCTAGAATGAACAATCCATTTTGCCAAGATTTGGCACTGTTCCATAGATAATTGATTATAAGCTAAACCCAATCTGGATGATTTCATTGCACCGACTTCAATAAAGTTTTTGAATTGTTTCAATGACATTTTTGCACCAGATAAAATCAATTCTTCTATTCCACCTTTGATGGCTAATGCACCTGCCAATAGATTCCAGTTCATTTCGGTTCTACTGTCTTTGTTATAATCCATTCTATGTAATGTACTCTTCAAGGATGATTTAGAAGGTTTTTGGACATTAACTTTAATATGTGATACCATTGTTAAATCTAATGAAATCAATGATTCACTATGAGATATGAAGTAACATAAAACTTTCCAACCGTCTTCATCTAAAGGTGTATTACGTAAGGATAATTTTTCAAAATTTTTCTTACTGGACAATGATCCCAATATAATTCTTAACATCTCAACAGTTAGATGAACACCATCCAGCGATAAACATAAGATAGGAGCAATACTAATGAAATCGCTAAATGACCAAACTTCTACCATAGAAGGTCGTGGGTTACGTAGTTGTAACAATGGAATAGGATCTGTTGAACCAGGTGTTAATTGTTTCATTGTTGCTGGAATAGGTAGAATTTCTCTTAAGTGACAACATCTAGTATAAACAACGTCATGGGGAATCTTTAGATTTCTTGGAGGGAATTCGGCTTCATCTGTCTCTTCAGATCCAGCTGATTGTAATGATGTATTGGAATTCGAAGAAGTTAGGTTTGTTAAGGATCTCCTACTTACCATGGGTTTATCAATTGTAAGATGTGAAGCACTCTTACTGACGCTAACTTCTTCTTCATGATTAGTCACAGTTCTTCTTAAATCGTTTGGTGTTTCTTTAGCTCTCGCCTCAGCGGCAGCCTCGGCGGCAGCCAATTCCATATTTCTAATATGTGAGCACTCGACATCCTTCGCCGTATCTTCTTCTCCGTCATCATCTTCATCACCTTCGTTTGCATTGTCCTTATTAGAATTTGGTGGGGTTGTCGTTGTAGACCCACCAGATAATATATTTTCTGGTATTTTTTCTTCTTGTTTCTTGAGGTCTAAATTAGATTGAGTTTGTTTCGTAGAATACTCGTTATCATTATCATTATTGTTATTGTTTTCATTTTCTGGTACTAAAAGTTTCAATTGTCCAGTACCGCCCACGACAATACCAGCTGTTGATTCTTGAAGGATCTTACGCCTTTCTTGGGGAGTTAATCTATGGATAACAACTGAACCATTTGGTTTAACCTCTACTTCACCCTTTCTCGGATTTTTACTACATATTTGTTGAGGTGGATCATTAAAATAAGTATTCGTTGCAAAAGAGACATGTTTTAATGGTTTCAAATCTTCTAAACCTGGCAAGATGTTAATATGTTCAGGATCAAATTTATGAGAATCATTTAATGTTGTTGTTGAAATACTAGAGACAGACTTATCTAAACTACCATCCGATACACTATTTACAGTAACTCCATGTGAGGTGACTCTTTTCAAAAATGCACCGAATTTATTTGAAGTGGTACTATTGTTATTCGGTGAAGATATAGCTTGTGATTGAGAATCTTTATTTCCTACTGGGCATTCCCCAGATATTGATGATTTATTGTAAAATACAGATGGCCATGAAGATTTTGCAGGATGTGCAGGTATAGGTCTACCTCTAGCATCATGAACTTTATTTTTTTGAGTAGTATCAGCACACATTGTGAAAGTCGCTTTTGTTCTTGCATGACGTAATTGACGAGAATTTGAATTTTGAAATGCACTCACTGCATAACCTTTAGATTTATAATATTTTAAGAATTCAAGGAGTCGCCTATTGTCTTCATCTAACTCTAAAGAACTGTTGTCGATAGAATCACATGCAGATGCTAATGCTTCATCATCCATTTCATTATCAGGTTCATGTGATAAACTACCTCTACGAGAATTTGAATGCGAATGTAGATGAGTATGGTGATGATGATGATGATGTGATGCATTGTTGTCTTCGTTATTCATATCTATAAGATCAGATTCTGTCTTAGCTCTTGTTAAAGAATGGTTACTTCTAGCCGGAGAGACCGTTCTAGATAGATTGTTTATTTCTTCTGGAGCTAAAGATCCACGACGTGACCTTAATGGAGAAGTTGTGGATTCTCTTTCGAACGTAGGTCTCGTTGTCGTTGTTGTTGATGTATTGTTAGATGGAGTAGGTGTGATGACAGGTTTTGGTTCTGTTTTTTTACGACTAAAGAATGATTTGAAAAAACCCATTTTTTTCGGAGATCCATTTTCTTGTTCTTGTTCTTGATCTTGTTTAGCTTTAGCTTTAGAATAAACAGTTTGACCAGATATAGATTTTGTTCTTCTTAATTGAGGTTGTTCTCTTGTAGTTTGTTCAGTATGAGGTCTAAAACTTTGATTTTCTTCAACTATATTAGTAGTTTTGGTAGGAGGGTTAGATGATGGTGATGGTGATGATTCTCTTACCATACCTGCAACAGAATTACGTCTTGGAACATTTGACTGTCTTATTTCAGCAGTGGTATTAGTCGCAGTATGTAATACAGGTACAGTTGCATTCTCATCAGTAATATTTGAGTTTGTGAAAGGCTGATCTTCTAGTGGATCCACACATTCTTTCGAACTAGCAAACCAATCAACATTCATTCTCGGGACATGATGCTCTCTTAATGTTTCATCTGTTGCATCCCTAGGGTCCATTATTCATATATGCAGAGTGAGGATGTGTCTGTTTGTAATGTTGCTATTAATGGAGATTCTACTCTAATAAAAGATAAAATAGAGAAGACTCTTTAATTTGTTGTAGTGATTAGTTTTTGCTCTTTGCTTCCAAAAACTAAAAGTGTATAATACAGTATATATATATATATAGATGTATTAGTGTATGGCTTAATATTATTGTTTGCTGTATATAATAGAGGATTTGAATATTAAGATTAAATAATAAGTTATTATAGAAGAAAATGCGAAAACAAAAAAACAAAAAAAGAGAAGCCCGGTTAGTACTTCGTTACATGCTTATTTAAGGTCTTCCTCTAATTTTGTTGTTTAACTTCCCCCGAAAGCATTTATCTATCGCTGTATTTACAGACTTTTAATCATTGGTAGTGGTTGGTTATTGTCATTCTCATTCGCACCGCCAGAAACTATAAACGAATTTTGTCTGTATCACTGCCCCTTGAATTGCGGAACAGAACGTATAAATGACGTGGGGGGGCCGGTGGTGGAAGAGAGAGCGCGAGTGCGAAAGGATTGCACGTGCCGTGGATGGTGGTGTCTACTGTCGTTTGTTGGTGGAGCATTCTGTTGCCCTCCACGAGGACCCCGTTTTTTGGGGTTGTTGGCGGTGACTGGTTCCACGGGATGGGAGACGGAAGGGGGAGGTGATGGGACGTGACATGGGGTTCGTGAGTGCTTTAATTATAGATAACTGAAAAATTAAGTTAATATCGTGAAATTTTCCACTCATTTAAATTAAAGGAAACGCTATATACACCTTATTAAGTTAGTCAGTACTCCATTAAAGTGGAAAGTGGTGTTTTCATAGTACAGTATTGATCAATTGATTACAGTTCATTATATATAAACGGAAAAAATATGACTGAATTGACTCAGTTCATTATCGATACGTATAAGACTCGACAACAATTGATACAGAATGGGATATGGAGAGGTGAATTATATAAACATATCAAGATAATCAATAGTCATGATCGTTCATGGATTTGGAAGACACTTCTGTTACATTCAGAGAATCAAGAAGATATCAACGATAACGATCACAATAATAATAATAATAATAATAATAATAATAATAATAATAGATATATTACTAATGAGTCGCAACTATTTGATTCATTGAATAACTTAGTTGCAGTTCCATTGATATCTGCAAAACCAACATCACAAAATGAAAAAGATGATCATGATCATGATGATAATAACAATAACAATATATCATTGCCGTTTACCCCAATTAAAAGAATGGTTCAAATAGGAAGTAAAGGAATAAGGAAATTAACGCCGAAGGAAACACATTCTCATCCATTAGCAACTAATAAAAACGTTACTGAAAGTTCAAACAATAATGATGAAGATTATGGAATGGATATTTCAGATACCTTGGAAATTATTGATTTAGATTTATCAAGATTGATTGTATCACCAATTTTTGAAGAACCACAAATTCATGCATTAATGCGTCGAATCATGTTTAATTATTTATTATTAGACAATAAGAAAACTCAAAAGGACATTTCTATAATGGATCAAACTTATAGATATAGACAAGGGTTTCATGAGATTCTTGCAATAATATTCTTACAATTTTATGATTCACAAATAGAGACCACAGAAATAAGTAATAATAATGAACAAATTAAATTTGTCTTATTTATTTTCACAAAGTTAATGGTACCTTTACAAAGTATATTCTATATAGAGAATCGACTCCTTGAATGGCAAGACAATATTTTCATAAAAGTATTAAAGCTAAGTTCACCTCAATTATTTTCAATATTATACCCTAAACCGTCATCATCCTGCAGTAATAAGAATAGCCATAATAATTTGATTTGGCTGATTCGTTGGACAAGATTACTATTCCTAAGAGAATTACCCTTACAGGATTGTCTAATAATATGGGATCATATATTGACATTTTCTTACCCTCTGGATTCCATGGTGGCGTGTCTTATCGTATCAATATTAATCACTGTTAGAAAGACATTGGTGGAGATTCATGAAAATGATGAAATGGATAATGATGATTTGATTGAATTTATGTTACAATTCGATAAACGAGTCGGGGTGAAAAGACTGGATATTTTAAAGATTTGTGAATTGGCGGGTTTGTTATGTGAATCATGGGAAAGTGGGCATTGGAAAGATTTATCACGAGTAGTAATACGATATATTAATCAGAATGAAATGGATCCTAATAGAAAACGTTTAGAAGATAAATTGAAGCAAAGAGTACAACGATCAATGATTAAATAAATAAATAAATAAATAGTAGGTACAAAGAGTGAGGAATAAATAATGTTGTGTTTATATGTATGAGAGGGGGAAGTTGTGTATGCTTATTATTTTTTGTTGCTGTTGATATTATTACTATTATTCTCCTAATAAGCTCTTACAGTTGGAGGTACAGAAGGACACTCCTTTTCGTCTAATGTATGAGAAATTACCTTTCTGTATTTCAAAGACACAGGAGATCCTGTAGTTGGTTGCCACGACAAAGTATGTTTCATCCAAGTCTTATCGTCTCTTTCTGGATAATCATCTCTAGCATGAGCACCACGAGATTCCTTTCTGGCAGAAGCAGACACGGCAGTTTGGGAGGCACAAGTTAACAAGTTTTGTAATTCCAAAGTTTCAATAAGATCGGAGTTCCAAATCATTGACTTATCAGTGACATGAACATCTTCAAAAGTGTTATCCACGGCAATGATATTATTTACACCTTCATCTAGAGAATCCTGGGTTCTAAACACGGAAACATCCTTTTGCATAGTCTTCTGCATGTTCAATCTAATTTCAGAAGTTGTTCTAGAACCATTAGCATTTCTCAATTTATCTAAATTGGCAATACTTTCCTTACCTAAGTCAGGTAATGGTTTATGTGGTAAACCAGGTTGTAAAGTATCAGCAACGGTATGAGCCACAGCACGACCAAAGACAACTAAATCTAATAGGGAGTTGGCACCAAGTCTATTGGCACCATGGACAGAGACACATGCAGTTTCACCACAAGCCATCAAACCTGGAATAACCTTATCTTCACCAGTCTTTTCATCTATTGTCAAAGCTTCACCATTCCATTTGGTTGGAATACCACCCATATTGTAATGGACGGTTGGGATAACTGGAATAGGTTCCTTAGTGACATCGACACCAGCAAAGATAGAAGCAGTCTCAGAGATACCTGGTAATCTTTCCTTCAATACATTAGGTGGTAAATGACTCAATTGTAAGAACATATGATCCTTTTCTGGACCGACACCTCTACCTTCTTTAATTTCCATAGTGATTGCTCTTGAGACAACATCTCTACAAGCCAAATCCTTAGCAGTTGGAGCGTAACGTTCCATGAATCTTTCACCTTCAGAGTTAACTAAATAACCACCCTCACCACGAGCACCTTCGGTGATCAAACAACCGGAACCATATATACCGGATGGATGGAATTGAATGAATTCCAAATCTTGTAATGGGAAACCTGCACGAGAGACCATAGCCATACCATCACCGGTACAAGTATGGGCTGAAGTACAAGAGAAGTAAGCTCTACCATACCCACCAGTAGCCATGATAGTTCTATGAGATCTAAATCTATGAATAGTACCATCTTCTTGATTCACAGCAATGACACCAACGACTTCACCTTCTGGAGATTTCAAAAGATCTAAAGCGAAGAATTCGATGAAAAAATTACAATCATGTTGTAAAGCTTGACCATATAAAGTATGTAACATTGCATGACCTGTTCTATCTGCCACGGCACAAGTTCTATAAGCTTGACCACCTTTACCAAATTCTTTTGATTGACCACCGAAAGCTCTTTGATAAATTCTACCTTCTTCATTTCTTGAAAATGGCATACCAAAATGTTCCAATTCAATAATCGATTTTGGAGCTTCTCTAGTCATATAATGAATAGAATCTTGATCACCTAACCAATCAGAACCTTTAACAGTATCGTACATATGCCATTTCCAATCATCTGGATGCATATTACCTAAAGCAGCATTAATACCACCTTGAGCAGCGACAGTATGAGATCTAGTTGGAAATAATTTGGAGATACAAGCAGTCTTATAACCTGCTTCGGCAAGACCAAAAGCAGCTCTTAAACCGGCACCACCGGCACCAACCACGACACAATCATATTCATGGTCAATAATATGATATTTATTTAATAGAGGATCAGTGGAATTGGAAGAAAATGTTTTACCATTAATATTTTTACCTTGAACTTCGAGAGCTCTTGAAGTGGAAGAGAAACATCTCTTGTATAATGTTAGACTATTACTTAATCTAGAAGATTGTCTTAAAGATAGCATTATAGTAATAAATAAATATGAATTTTTTTTAGGGTGTAATAAATCAAATAAAGCTATTAATGTATGAATATGTATGTGTACCTTATTATTATCTTTTAAAGTGTAATTGTCTTATTCCCTTAAAAAAAAAATTAACGGAGTTCCTAATGCATAAATATATGTATATATGTATGCTTAAATTTAAGTTTATTTAATTGAAGATAGATCAAATATTGTTTGAAAAGTATGAATTCAAAATATGAAAGAAAAACCTTCTGAAGTGTTTAAAGAAAATATTTCACTTTTATATATTCCTCTATAGTAATAATAATAATAATAAAATAAAATAAAATAAAGAAGATATATATTGAGGGGAAAACGAGTAATGATTGGTAAGACTCAAATTAGCATTAAAGTACCGTTAATATTATATATCATATGCGAGCAACCCACTATTACAAAGAAAATATATCCATATATACCTGTCGTCCTCTATGTTGTGCTCTGCATGTACCTCCCCTCCCTCGCTCCCCTCTTCGTTGAGATCATGCATACTCAAAATAATAGTATTCGCTGTATTTGCTGTATGCAATAGTTTTAGAATGTTTCTACGTCAATTCAGTACTTCTTTATATTCTGACCAATCACAGAGACGAATAGAATCATGGAAGTTTTCATGAATTTAATTTTCTCGTTTCTCTCCGATGATTCGCATAACAAACACACAGAAAGAAGCAGAAGAAGCCCTAGTATTCAACCCTGTATATATTATACATATTTCACACAAGAACGACGCTTTGGGGGAGAGCAGGAAGTTCTCCATTAAACCGATTGACTACAAAACTAACTGAATAAACAGCATTCGGCGGATGGTATTCCCCTTCTATATATGGAGGTGGTGGTGCTGCACGTGACAACGGCGGCAATTCCATTTATTTATTTTTTTTTGGGGGGGAGCAAAGAGGGGAAGCGGTGTTCTTTCAATCAGCGGTTAATCTTTTCTCTTTTATATATATATATATATATAGAAGACCTTGCTCTTTTTTGTAGTTTATTTCTGAAAATTCAGGACGAAAGGTTCTTGCTAATAACTTTCTAATCCGTTACTAAGAAGATATATTTAACAAGATAACTATATAAAATTAATATAATTGATTGATTGATGCAAATGTGCCATAATATATATATATATATATATA